AAATTTATAATAGTGATTTTGAAATTCTCTGTTATTCAATCAGGCAATTCAGTCTATCTACACTATATGTATGGTTGCAAAGTACAGTGTAACATGAAGGCTTTTGATATTAAAGGAGAGTATGGCATAGATATCTCTTGGCGATATAATCAATGTTCCTAAAACCTTCAATAGTTACTCTAGTGATAAAGCTTTTTTAAGTTTGTGCTAGCTCCCGATCTTTTTTCAACCAAGCTTGTGGAGTCTAATCAGAAATAATTACATTTTGAATAGTTTTACTGAACTTTTTAAAAGCTCATATTTTCAGTGCTGCCCTTCATTCCTTCTTCTAGTAATGAATATTTATCAAGATAAAGGCTACAATAAACTGACATGTATATAAATAATTTAAAAATACCCCCTCCCCCAAAATTGTGCTGATCATTTTTTATTAGACAGTAATCATTTTTAAGAGAGAAACTCTTCCAGAAATGTTGGTCTTTGTTACCCTGTGGGTATCTAGCTTGATAGACATGACCTAACAACACTAATACAATTAAACTGTTACTGAAGAATTAAATAATGTTTTATAATATTTCTATTGTTATGTATTGTTGTCTGGCAGAACTTGAGTTTCTTTAATGATTACTGTTCTATCCATTAAAGATATTATGTGAGGTAGAAATCATTATTACCATTTACCATTTTTCCCATTAAAGAAATTAGGCTGTAAGAGATGGAAATAGAAGTATGATAATATTTATTATTGCTGCATGCTATAATGTAATAATTTATGTCTTTGTGAGACTATGACAGAAAATTTCAGAAGATTTGTTTTTAATTATTTTCTAAGGTTTATTTTCACATCATAGAAATAGAATATGAAACAGTTTGCACTATTAATGATGAAGCAGCAGATAAATAGTATGTGATTCAACTATCAGATTATGAGATTTTGATCATGTGATAGTTGATGAGGGCTGGTGCAGGCCAAGTCAACTATTATGCATCTAGAAATCTTGAGCTCATAATCCAGCTGTTTTTAACTGGTACAAATCTACTATTTGTTCACACTTTTATCTAAATCGTCTTCACAGATACTTCAAACATGCAAAGAAGTGGCCACCTGTTTGTTAGCAAGCGCATAATGCTGCCACGCTACTCCCTCTTTAAAACAAAATAGATAGTGAGTAGCGTAGCCAATCAGAGAATAGCATTCGTGATAGAACACTAGTGGATGTATACTAAAACGTGATAGAAACTTGGAAAATGTTTTGTGATTCTTAAGATATGTGTAGGTGTTTAATTTAGACAGTGTAAACATGAATACATAGAAATCATCATCATTATCTCCAATAATCTGTTTTTTTAACAAGGAAATGCAGCTTTAAATGCTCATGTTGAATATTATATACTAATTAAATACTGGTTGGCAAAATGTTTTCTGACTTTTTTTGCAAAAGTCAGTTTTCATTCAACAATTAACTTCCATTAGTTTATGGACATTACCTCTTGATTGCTTTAATGGTGCCAGGTTATTTACAAGCTTGATACCATATCATACTTGAATTGTTATTCGTATTGGATAACTGGTAATCGAGCTTGAGTTCCCAGATGCCGATATTTATCCTTTAAGTGGTATCTGCAGTGGTTTGGCCAGTTCAGACATTATGATAATGCAAATATGTTGACAATACACAGTAATTTATATCAGTTACACACTCCAAAACCATGTGAGGTCTGTCCTAAGAGATTACAGGAGATCATTGAGCCCCAGTTTACCCAGATTGAAAAGCTTTCTCTAATCCAAGAAAGTTCATAATTAAGAAGAACTAATTGAATTAAGATAAACAGATTATCTTTATACAGGAAGTTAGTTTATATTGTCATCATTGTACTTGTCTATTATTTAAAACCCACCTTTGACACATGCTCACTGCAGTCTAGTGACTTACAATAACTTCAAAGTGATGGCGAGTTACATGTACATACAGTAATTTGAGGTATAGAGCTTCAGTGCCTTAGCTTAAGTTTATTAACTTAAACTTTGAATTTTATGAAAAGGACGGATCAGATGAGAATGTGAACTATTGTGAAATCACATTTCATTTGACCATGTACTGATGAAAGATGATGAGGTTTAACAGAAGCATATCACCTTGACTAGGTGATATGCTTCTGTTAAAAACTGTAAAACTGTCCTTTTTTTATTCTGTTAACTCTGACTTGTCATTGTGTTGGACTTAAAGTCATTAATTCCCAAAACTGATTGATATCATTCTAACTTTCCTCTGCTAATTAAATCTCCAGTGAGTGATAAGATTGAGGGATCTGGTTACCTATGGAAAATGTTTCACCTGAATACAAAATTATGACCACACATCATGTCAAGGAAAATGTCTAAAATGAAACACAGAAAGGAGAGTTTTGATACATCTTTACACTGTAAACTTTACATTGAAATCCTGTTCAGTTAAAGTGCATTACGTC